AGCATAGAAAAATAGAGCATTCTTTTCTCTATCAGGCTTATATAGAAAGAAAGATTTTTAAAGCTTACTATATGGCTAAGTAACGCCGTGATCAGAACTTTTGGTACACCCTAAGTAGTTATCCTACTGCGTCATTGGTAAACTGAAAAATTTTTTTTTTTTCAAATAATTATGAAAGCATTGAAATATCGCATAGAATCTGAAGCCTTTTGTGTGCTTTTGCTGAGTTTCATAATGGTGGCCGCTCTGTAATGGAGGGGGAGCCGGAAAAAATTGGACTTTAAACTTACACTCACTATTTTCTTCGAAAATATACGTGAGTTCCACAAAATTCAATGGACAAATAAGGACAGTGAAACATATTTCATTCTGAAAGTTTCATTCTTTCGTTTTAAGCAATCGTGCTAGGGTTTTAATCTGTTATACTATCACAGTTATAGAATATCTCTTTGAATCGGTAGCAATCACAGATAAAAATTTAAAAAAATAGTTTAAAATTCTCAGTATACATTTTACTAACATGAACCTTTGTTAATTTCTTCCATTATGTAATAGGGTGTGGGTCTGGGTCTTGTCGTCACCCACACCCACACGCTAAGTAATTATGTTCCAGGTTTTGAAGAGTATTCAACATACAATTAATTATTGAGAAGGAGATTTTAGAGCAAATATTAAATCTTTGGCGGACATATTATACAATAAGTTCATTATATAGATTAATAGAAATCAATTTATTCTCAACTATGAGTAATTTAGTTGGCATAGGGAATATGGCTCTTTATTTGATTAGCAAAAAACGATATGAACATATAAGATTAGTGAATATGAAAAATGATGAATTATCCAGTAACTTATGCAACAGTCATACGGAGATTTTTAATCTTTTCAAAGAATTTTCTCTCTATAACAGTAGAAATTCCTAAAAATTATAATAAGAAACATTTCTCCCTGGTCGTATTACTTTATCAAATAAAGTTTTGTTGTTTGAAAAGTGCAAATTAAAATTATTTTTGTTTAAATAGTACGACGACTCACTTATATTGAGAGAGCGTCTGGGAGGAAACCAAAAACCGAGACAGTCATCTAAATTTGATTTTTTAAATTTTTTATGGACGATTGAAAGATGATCACCCGCATTTATATTTTGTCCCTGATTTAACCTTTTCGTAAAGTTTTGTTTATCGTATGTCAGTGCAAAATACTCAATGAAAATATGTTGACTGATCATAAATTAATACTTAATAAAAATATACTATGAATTTGTTTATTATCATTGGTGCACATATTTTAAAATGCTGCATTATTTCTTTTTTTCCAATATCGATCATGTGTTTAGTTTAAGATTTGAGCTCATTTTCGAATGAGACATTCGTAACTCACTGATATACCTTATTATAAAATTTTTTGTATTATAATAAACATTGACATTAGAAGAAAACAAAGAAAATTTTCGTTTTATCGAACAACACACTCAGTTTATTTTTTGTTATTAGATAATGATATGGCAATGTGAGTTTAAGAAACAACAACGATTATTGAGAAAAAGAAAATATATGAAGATAAGAAAGAAAAAAATTGAGAATTTCATTCTATCCTATTTTCAGCATGTGAAAGTACAGATAGATCATCATCATCATCTGCTAGTAATGGTAATTTACTATACAAAAAATAAATAAATCTATTTTTTGTTGTATTATGATATGGAGAAAAGTTTTTTTTCAATTGATCGAAAATCATCTGAATCTAAATAATCAATTCTATTAAGATCATCTATATTTGTTGTCAGAGTTTTTTTTTCATTTAATAAATATTCTTCGATTTGTTTATTTGATCGATTAAATTCATCACGAAGTCTAGAATAATAAATTTTCATTTATAAGAAATAAAAACATAAGAAGAAACATGGCTTAACAACAATCAATAACATGCAACTAATACAACAATAACAAAATAAAAGGGACATACTTTAAATATATAATCCACCTGATTTTGTTAAACAACTATTTCATGCTGGCACAGGCTGAGAGAGAAGAAAATCGTGCACTGGATGCCGTAAATGAATTACAAAGTAATTCAAATAAAAATGAATTCTAAAATAATTCAGCTTCTATTAGTTTCCATGAGGGATTACCACGGACTACAAGGGATTACCATGGGCCCCGGATGAATGAGGATTACTACAAGCCAGAGAATATCAGGAACTGCTTGGAACCAGGCCTATCATAGTCTACCTTCAGTCGCGAAACAAAAAAAAGCAAAATCAAACACAACGCTATTTGGTGCTTTAGTCGGCTTTCTCGGAAATCAGGTACCTTTTCGGACCAAATGAATTTCCGGGAAATCAAAAACGACTTTCCAGAAACCCAACCAGTTGTGGATGAATGATGGTGGAAAGACGGACACACACGAAATGCCCATTTATCAGGTCTTTCTCGATGAAACTCAAGGTGGTAATCCCTGGTCAGTTCATCTGAAGCCTGATTCTCAGTAATGGATCAAGTCAATAGAATTACTAATAGAAATCGTATTGAAGCTTCAACTCAGAATCGATATAAATCTGACTTATTTTGTAATTTATTTACGTCATGAACTCTTTTCATTGAGTTTTCAATCTTCCATCGACTTTTAATTATAAAAATATATTTCAGATGATTTGATAAGAAGTAAATTATATACTTAGGGCATATCAAAAGTAGTGGCGTTATTATCTTGTTTCTTTAATAGAAAGTTGGAATTGGTTTTTCTTTTTTTTATGTACTGATAGAGAAAACGACGCTCTATTTTTCTGTGCTGTTTGATCATTCTTCAACTAATATCATAATAATAAAATTTCGATAAGAACTATTTTTGTATAAAACTTTAGTAATATTTGAGGCAGATTATGTGGCCACACTTTGCATTTTTTGCATTTTAATTTTCAATCACTTAAAAGGGTGTATTAAAAAACAAAATATACCGCTAGACACAGCGTGAAAAGCTCTACAATTTTTAAAGAACACCTTATCTTATATTTAGATAAGAAAAAATAAATTTCTCTTCTTATAGAAAGAATATGATCTTTTTCGGGATAGTTGGAGAGAATTTTACTTTTCTTGCAAACAAGAAGCACGCAATAAAAATAAGCGATCTTACACAGATTGTAGGACTTTTCATGCTGCGTTTTTTGATGTATTTTGCTTTTTTTAAATAAAAGATATCAGGTGATAAAAAGGTGAAATGAGAAAACTGAATCGATCTTGTACCAAAAACAATATATTTTCTGCAAGGTTGAAAATTGGTCGCTCAAAACTTTGCTCATTATGAGAACAAAAAGTGCAGTTATAAAATAAGCGGTCTAATGTAAATTGTAGAGCTTTTCACGCTGCATCTATTGATATATTTTATTTTTTTGATACAACCTATTAAGTGATTGAAAATTGGAATGCAAAGCGTGGCCATTTAATTGGCCTGACAAATTGGTGAAGTTGTAAATAAAAACAGTTCTTATCGAAATTTTATTATTATGATATTAGTTGAAGAGTGATCAAATAGCACAGAAAAATAGAGCGTGGTTTTCTCTATCAGTAAATAGAAAAAGAAAATCTATTCAAACTTGCTATTAAAGGAATAAGATAATGACGCCACTACTTTTGGTATGCCCTAAGTAGATATCTACCATTTTTGTGAAACACGATCTAAAAGAAGGGTTGAAGTATATAGGGGTAAAAATTTTCACTTCTCCCGAAGACCGTGATAGACACGTTAGCAACGCCTCTCTCCGTCACCGAGTGCGACAGCAACCTTAGTACCCATACATGAGAGTTCATGAGAAACATAGCTGCGAAACCGAAGTCTTCTGAAGGATTAGTGTGAAATACGAATGGGATATCTGTACTGTGACTTTCTTTCATACTCACTATAACATATTACGATTAATATCTTTCATCATCGACATTGGATTAACAATGGGACGCAATTCACAAACCGAAACATATGTTCGTAAATTGCTTCATTTACAATGTAAGCAGCTCCATCGTATTTCACATTTTAATTCTACACGGATTAAGCCAACAGCTTTTTTCCTCCACTTTTACAGATTGTTTTATTAGCGCACTAATTCGGTTAGAATTGAAAAATATTCTGTTTCTTTTTCAAGCAAAAATATATGCATTAATCAATTAAAAGATTTCTTTTTCCTTTATTGTCTTTTAATTTGCTTTAGTGACGTAAGTTTAAATGTATTGATCTTGTTGTTGTTATTCATTTTATTTAAATAATCAAAAAATAATTATTTCTGCATAAGGAAAATAGTCTTCAATATGTTTTGGAAGGTCCAATACATCACAAAAAATTAGACGACTGAATTTATGACAATTGGCTCGCGTAGCCTCTCTTGTGAAATTGTGTGTCACTCTCTGTAGAGAGTTATAATCGATGATCGTATGAATATAATTTGATAGAAACGTTTTGGCATTGACTAGGAATTGCTCGACATAATCATCATGGACATCAATAAAATCGAGTCCAGTAAGATGAGGAGATTTAATGATGGGCAAATCTTGATTGTTGTTGTTTGAATTTTCATATTGTTTGCGATTTTGTGGTGTCAAATTATTTACAGTTAATTGTTTAAGAAAAGGAAATGTTTGAGCAATTCGAATAAAAAATTCATGTTCGAATGGACGGTCGCCAAAGAGTGATACTCTGCGAACGTATTTGAATAATCCACCTGAAAAATTATTTGTAATATTATCATAATATATTAGTGAATATGGATACGAGTAAATATGACATTGACCACTTTTTTCTTTTGGAAAATAATCAACACAACAATTTATTTTATAGTCATCTCCTAGATTTGTTAATGTATTTTTAATATCTTCATTTGAGAGTAAGTGCATTTGATTATAAAAAGATATTTTTGAACGAATGTTAAATGTGAATATATTTAATCGTGACATATGACTGATTATATTCTTCTTTAAATTATTTCCATCGATAAATGTTTTTTGACAATTGGCTGCAAAATTCAAAATAAGCTTTTCCAGATTTACCATTCGTTGCAGAAGTGGCACAATTAATTCATCATAAAAACATGTTTCACAAGCACTTGTCATTGAAAAACATTTCATATTAGACAATCTTTCCTAGAAAAACAAAATAATATATAATTAGTCTTTATAGAACATATATGAATCATTTGTTCAATAAATAAAATATTTGTTTAAGCAATAATTATTGTTTTATTGTAAAGTAACCTACTTTATTATTGATCATTGGCGGCGAAGTGCGAGTGTGAGCAACATTAATAACATCAACATAGAAGATCTGAAGTTTATTGAAACGACCATCGAGTAAATAAAGAATATCATCGAAATGTTGCACTTTTATATGTAATTCTACCAAAGTTGAAGAAAACATTGGAAGTTGACGATCAAATGATAATCGTTCAATATTTCTATGTGACGATTGGTGAAAATTTAAATAGAATAGATTAGGAAAAGCAGTAAAGATATGTGAACACACTGTCGTTATCTCATTTTTCGCTGATAAATCTACTGTATTGTTTGAGATTGTAATAATAACTGCCGAAATTTGATTTTTGAATGGGCGAGTTAAAATCTGCTCGTCTAAAATATATAAAATTACTAAGAGAAAAAGTTAATCATCCTTTTTCTTTATTAAATCATAAGATGGGTTCTTCTATATTTCATTATATTCTTATTTCCCTGAAAATGTTTTTACACAAAAATTAGATTAAAAACGATATTGATCGTTCTTCTGAAGATTTTGCTTTCATCCATTTTCACTAGAGATTTGTTAGAAAAAAAATATATGTAATCATCTATACTTAATTATATTAAGAACTTAATAAAACGAACCGTCTTAATTTTCATGTTTTAATGATTGAAACAATGGAATTTAAATTTCTTACCCGAAAAGAAATGTACAGCAGTCTCCTGGTCAATATTGTACAAGCCGAGCCCACGTAAATTAGGATAATCGGCAGCAAATAAAATACGTTCCATCGATAATGATTCAAGGTCGAGCCACTGGATTCTATGATGAATTTCAAGTAAGATTTGTAAACAAAATCTGTCAAGCACTATTCGAGATAATGGAAAGATAAAACCATTCCATAAACATCTCAATAATGTTAAACGACTAGTAAACATTGGATGACGTAGAATTTTACTGAATTGTCGATTAACACCCATTAGAGAATACAGTACTTCAACATTGTTTAATTTCTTGAAAATGTTTAGAAGTATCTCGTCCAGTAAATGAAAAAGTTGAATAAATGAATGTTCCATTGTCGTATTCAAATATCAATTCTTTTTCATTTTTATATGGCATTAATCATGTATATATATATTCACTTGCAGAATTTGACCGCTGCCGTCATTCGAGATAATCATGCATTTTTTCTATAATCTAAATCGACGGCGAACCAATGAATGAATAACAGTGGTTCCCTCTCATTTATTCAATAATTTTCACATGATATTAATACATGTACGATACTATGAACGCAATAAAACCGGTAGAAATCACCGCAAGAACTGATAAAAATGTGTAAACCTAGGAAGACTTTATGCATTTTAACGTGTTCAGATTTTTCTAACGCGATTAAAGGGTGTGGGTGGGTCTGGGTGTGGGTGAGAGTGTGGGTCTTCTATTAACCCAGTTGCATACCTACACCGACACCCACCCACACCCACCATTGGGTAGATCGACGGCTGCTGATTCTTTACTTCTCTGGCTTCATTAGATGAAAAGTATGAATTTAATTCAGCAATACATGTCATGCACTGGTGAACGTGTATCGAACGCTATTCGCCTTGGTGCTGGTGTGCAATGGGGTGAGGGTGTGGGTGTGGGTGTGGGTATAGCTGAAAAGAAGACTCACACCTAGACCCACACCCACACCCAAACCCACACCCACACCCACACCCCACACCCATGTTGATGCTGGACGGAGAAGGTAATGT